GTGACAAGGAAGGACCAAGTGAGAGAGAACAAGTCAAGCACACTGTGACAGGCGAGATGCGGCGAGACCGTGGCTGGGGTGAGGCCAGCGCTCTCAGCAGGAATGATGCCTTTTGTGATGGATAAGATACGAGAGGTGGAGGAGATATATTTTGCAGCTCCAGATGAGGACTTTGGGTTTTAAAAGTGGGGCAATTGGAGAGGGATGAGAGCAGAGGGGATTTTTAACAAGAATAGCAAACGCACAGTACCCTGTGCCAGCACTGGCCTGGCTTGGCAGACGTTAGCTTGTGTGATATTTTTAACGCACAGCACCTCTGTGAGGCAGAACCAGTGTTATCCTCATTCTACAGATGATGAAGCTGAGGCCCAGGGAGGCCAAATCACTTACCCAAAGTCACATGACTAGCACAGGACAGAGCCAAGATTGTAACCCAAGCGGCCGGCTCAGTGCCCAGTGCCTTTGCCGCAGCCGAGTTCTGCTGGAAAACGGAAGGAGGGGCTCCAGGAAGCGCAGGGAAGCTGAGTCATTCCGCCTGACTGAACCCCCTGATCCTGATTCCGTTGCCTTGGGGGCCAGTGAGTGGGCGAGGAGCTCCCTTGGAGCCCAGAGGAAACAATCAAGCTGTCTCTGAGGATCTGGTAAAGTGGGTAATTGCTACCTCTGCAAGTGAGCTGCAGGTAGAGGCCAGGCTCAGAACTCCTGGGCAGCAGAGACACAGGATCAGTGACTGCAGTCAACTCGGAACAGCTCAGAAAAGACAGCTGTGCCCGCAACAGGCAGCCAGCTCTTCATCGCCTTCCCAGAGGAAATGACTAGATGAAGTAAGCTTCCTCAGCAGCAAGATAGAATAAAGGGTAGCCTTCAGAAGGACTTCCCAGAGAATGATTCATCACAGGGACAGGTTGCTGGGCAATAGGGTAGGGGGTAAACTTGCAAAGGGACAAATGAGAGTCTATGATAAAGATCATCTTGAGTAGCTGGAGGAGCCAGAGGTGTCCAGAGACACAGCTGGACCTGGTGCCTCCTTCAGACAGTCAGTCAGTGAGCGACGAATTTGCCCCCTTAGGCTCCTTTCCTCAGGCCTCGTACCAACACCCCTTCCAAACCCTACGAGCCCAAATAAAACATCTTTTTCCTGCCCATTCCACCAGATACGAAGAGGAGCTCTCCCTGCGGCCCTGTGCTGAGAATGATTTTGTTGCCTTGAAGAAGGTGAGGGAGGATGTACGCCTCCTAAGCTGGACCAGTGGGCCTGGGGGCCACTCAGCCTCTGGACAGTTCCCAGACGTGCCTGCAGCCCGCCCACCCACAAACCCCGATGCCAGCCCCACTGGCCCTGGAAGAGAGGAAGGCCAGCCTCCCACCCCTGGCAAAAGGGCAGTGACTGACCTGGCCACCACCTCCCACCTCACATTAAGGGTTGTGTCTACACCTGCCCAAGAAGCTAGAGATGTAGCTACCAAAACTCTGGCTCACACCTCCAAAAATGAAAGCCATCATGATCAGCCCTCAGATAGATAGCTCCGTATTTTCTGGCCTGAGTTCCAGCTCTAAGGACCTACATTCAAAGCTCCTGGAACCCTACTTCCTCCAAATCCTTCCCTGCTGGGATGCCAGGCCCAGGCATGGGGTCCTGGGGCTGGCGACCCCTCTCTACATCTGAGCTTTGTCACCCCTTCACATCCATACGGGCCTAACTGGGGAAAAGTGGGTCCCACACCTGCCACCAGCTTGCCCGGGAGGTGGCCCCAGGTTATGATTGTCACTGCTCTGGCTGCAGGATGTGGACACGGCTTTCCTGATAAAGGCTGACCTGGAGACCAACGTGGAGGCTCTGATCCAGGAGACTGACTTCCTGAGAAGCCTGTATGATGAGGTCGGCCAGAGACCAGGCCGGCTGGGTGACGGGGTGGGGAAGCCCCTGCCCTGTGGGTACGATTCAGGACAAGCTGACTTAAAAGTGAGCAGATGACAAAAATCAGCATGGGACAGTGGTTCTCAGGCAGAGAGACTCGCAGAGTCGGATGGCCCGGACCTTGGCTCTTGGGTCTCTGTGTAACTGGAGGGTGGGGATGGGGAACAGGTCAGTGATCGAAGGCCAGGACAGCTAGGCAAAGTCCCTGCAAGTCTGCTGCGGGAAGGCCAGACCCTCTCCTCCCCACCCCCTTTCTCCCCCACGTTACCCTCAAAGAGCTCCCCGATTCTCACCCGGGCCACCCCCCACCCCCAGGAGATCTGCCTGCTCCAGTCTCAGATTTCAGAGACCTCGGTCGTTGTGAAGATGGACAACAGCAGGGAACTGGACCTGGACGGCATCATCACCGAGGTCAAGGCCCAGTATGACGACATCACCAGCCGCAGCAAAGCCCAAGCGGAGGCCTGGTACCAGCGCCGGGTGAGGCCCACGGCGGGCGGGAGGGGCCCCGGAGTCATGCTCCCCCAGGAAGCAGGTGAGGAGGTAGTGAGAGCCACGCTGCAACCAGCCCTGCTGTTTCCGCCAGGCACCAAGTCCCAGGCCCCAGGCCAGGTCTCCGCTGAGCGTGTGGGAGACCCCGCAGACAGCCCAGGCCTGTCATCAGGACGCCCCAGCTTTATTCACCCACAGACTCGCTGAAAGTGCTCCTCTAAGTAACCTTTACGGAACACTAATTGGCAGTGATGGCAGAGGGCTCTGGGCTTCAAGGCGTAGGTGGAGGTTAATGGCATGGAGTGGTTACTAATGGTAGAGCAGAAACAGTGATTAAGGTGGCCTCATACTACGGTAATGAGGGGTTTGCTGGGAAGCCAGTTGGTGTCCCTGAGGGCAATTCGATTTAACAAGTATTATCATCTCAGTCTCAGCCATCCATCTGTGAAAAGCCCCATTCATTCACTCACTCACTCACTCACTCATTCACTCATTCAACAACTGTTCATTGAGCATCCATCGTGCGCCAAGCACCATTCTAGATGCTGGAGACCCGCAGGGAACAGAACAGACAGCACCCCCTGCCTTCGTATCTCTTTCATTCTAGAGGCAGGGGCAGGGGCGGAACAGACATATAAGTACAGTGAATGTATGTCAGATGGATGCGTGCTAAGGAGAAAATAAATCAGGGTGACACGTAGGGAGTGCGTTGGGAATACAGTTTCAAATAAGGTGGCCTGGGAAGAAGGGCCTTACTGAGGTGTGTGGCACCACGAGGATTCTAAGAGTCAGACCAGCCCTGTTCTCAAGGAGAATTACAGTCCTCCGGAGAGAAACGCGTAACCAACCAAACAGAAATACAAGGAAGTTAAGATCGAATGACAGGCTAAGGGAGTCTGACCATGATGGAAGCAATAAATTACATCTGGAAAGGCAGAGGCACTGGCATTGGATCTGGCTCTTGAAGGCCAAGTACGATTTCAATAAGCAGAGCATGGGGGAAGGGTACGCCTGGCTGAGGGCCAGCAGGAGCCAGGCTGCGGAAGCATGAAAGGGAGGTGCCGGTATGAAACACCACAAAGGAGATGGGGCTAGAGACACAGGGCCAGATCACAGCAGAGCCACAGAGCTTGGACTTTTTTCTGAAGTCAACGGGGACCAGTGTCCAGGAAGTATCCTGAGCAATGTTCTGCCCTTTGTCTGGAGATCCATGGTTATCAAGGTATCAAACCCTGGTCTGGAGTCAGCTCCCTATGACTCAGTCTGTGGCCTATCCACGACCAGGTCTCACTCCAACCTTTCTATCCAGTCAGGTGGGCTACCCATCAGTCAGGTATGCTCAGGGAAACCAACTACAGTTTCCCCTAAGTTAGACCAGAAAGCTAACTCTATTATTTAATAATTGTATTTATCTGTAAAACAAATTTCACTTGATATTTAGCTTTTTTCTCAAATAACTTGAAGTACAGAAATAGATTGCCTGTGGATGACACCAGGGTTCTATGCTACCATCAGGAAAACAGGCTCCTTCTAGCTTTCCATTCTGCCATTCTTAATGCATTGCTTTAATCTTCATGGTTGCCTCATGTCCCAAGATGGCTGCAATACCACCAATCTCACATGTTCATTCCAGGCAGAAAGAAGAACCGAGGGCAAAAGAAATATGCCAATTGAATCATCCCTCACTATAAACAGCTTTCCTGGAAACCCTATCTAGCAATGGCCATAGGCATCATTGATGAGAAAGCTGCGAAATATTCTCTTACTGGGGCTTCTGTTTGAAGAGGAGAGTGGATATTAATTAGGCAACTGCAAGCTTTCCCACAATAACTAAAGAGAGTGATTTGTGCTTAACTCTTGTTATACATTTTCTATGCAAAATGCTCTCATCCTTTATAAGCAGGAAATATAAAGTTAGCTAATTTTTAAAAATTTATAAATGTAATCTATAACACTCTATTCAGAAATTAGCTTCAAAGTGCAAGGTTAAAAAAAAAGTATTAAGCCAAGATAAGAAGTAACACTGCATTTTGTTTTCAATTGTTTTGAAAGAGAATATACACATCTGGTGGGCAGACACGGTGTGTCCTCAGTCTTCAGTCTGTTAAACCCAAGACCTGTTAGATCCCAGACTGAGCACAGAAACCCCTTCCACGGTCCACAGCAGGGGTGGAGCAAAAGGAGGGAAAAAGAGAGAAAAAGATGAGACACAGAACAGCTAAATAGAAGGGAAGCCAGCCTGGAGCTTAGAGAAGAATTTAATAAAGCCTGGAGGTTCAGGGCTGGGAGGTGAGAAGGGACCGAGGAGCAGCACAGGAAAAGACCGCAAAATGGACCAGAAATGGGAAGGGGATGGGGAGCAGGACAAGTCTAAGAATCCAGAAGCACCTGAGCCAGGAAGTCACAAGGCGAGAGACTCGGGACAGTGTGAGAAGGGGCTGGGAGGTGCCACAGTGTAAGCACCCAGGTTCTGACCTCCCTGTCCCACAGTATGAGGAGCTGCAGCGCACTGCCGGGAACCACGCGGACGACCTCCACAACCGCAGGAACGAAATCCTGGAAATGAAAAAGCTGATCCAGCGGCTGCAGCAAGACATTGAGAATGTCAAAGCCCAGGTGAGGCTCATTCCAGGCTGACCCACCGTCTGGTCCTGGTCGTGCGGGCGGGTCCATCCCCCCTGGGAGCCCAACTGAGGAGGGAATGAACTTGCACTGCCTCCCCTGGAGGGAGCGAGCCCTTTCTACAGAAGAGCTGAGCCACAGCAGGACAAGCAGCCTCAGGAGCCGGCAAGGTCCACAGCAGGCTAAGCGACTTTTATCAAGATGAAATAGCAAGGACGCTCACTAAATGGGAGTGTGGAAAGGGTGCTCTCCAGGCCCCTTCCAACCAAAGACTCTGTAATTCTATGCTCCTGAAATTCAAGGTGACTCTGCAGATTCATAAAACAAGACTCATTCTGTTCTCCTAGGCTAGTGAAGGCCAGGCAGATGCTTAAAATCTATTAACATTTATGATTATTTAATGTTTAATTAAAATATATTTATTATTTAAAGTTATTAAAATCTATTAGCCATAAAGCAATCGCTCAGCATATCTAAGAGGAGACTCTCAGATCTCCCTGAGGTGTTCTAGACAGGAGAACTGGTCCCAATCCCCTGGAGGAACTAGATGTCACAATCCTAGGGTGAAGCCCCAGCAGATTGGAATCTGGCCCGTAACCATGACTGGAGGAAAACCTCAGTCTTCCGCCTGTGTCTCTCCTTTACTCTCACACAATTACACTCCCACTTTTGACATCAGTTGTATGGGGGAGTTTCCCACATCAGCCAGTTCTGCAACACCAGCTGGGTGTTCTATCATTTAACTCAATTCTGACACTCTTTACCTAGAGATAGCATGAGATCCCACAGGTCAGGGGCTGCCCACTAAGTCCCACAAGACTGCCGCCACTTCAGATGCCCATCACAGGTCCAGGTGGTGCTCCTGGTGGTGCCAGGAACCGGGAGCAGAGACCAATACGATTATATATTTTTTCTGTTATCTCACAATGACCATGCTCTGCCTGTTCTGAGACTCAGTCCACGGCTCCAGGGCCCCCAGTAATGCCTTTCTCTGCCCTGCCCCCCAGCGCTGCAAACTGGAAGGCGCCATAACCGAGGCGGAGAAGCAGGGCGAGGCAGCCCTCGAAGATGCCAAGTGCAAGCTGGCGGGGCTGGAGGAGGCCCTGCAGAAGTCCAAGCAGGACATGGCCTGCTTGCTCAGGGAGTACCAGGAGGTGATGAACTCCAAGCTGGGCCTGGACATCGAGATCGCCACCTACCGGCGCCTGCTGGAGGGCGAGGAGCACAGGTGAGTCAATGATGCGCACCGGGTGTGTACATCCCCCCGTCCTCGGGTTGCTGCTGCTGTGACTGCTCATCCTGCAGTCGTCGAAAGCCTAAAACAGCACACAGCCTGCAGGCCCTCCTCATTGACGGGGTCCGTGGTGCGGGCAGGCAGAGGGGGGCCGCGCGTTTCCTGGCCTCGTTCTCTGATGCAGTTACCTTGTCTTCCTTTTCCTCTCCCCCTCCCCAGGCTGTGTGAAGGCATCGGGCCCGTGAATATCTGTGAGTAAATGAGCACTCCTCAGGGGCTCTGCGGTCTTGGGGGCTGATCAATCCAACACAGACAGACCACCCTGCCCGGGCCCAAACCTCAGCGTGCCTGCCCCACCCAGAGGAAGAGTCCTGTCTGCCCGGAGCTCCTCAGGAATGGAGAGGCTCTCCCTGGGAGCTGTCCATATGTTTGGCAGTCAGAATTAGGAGCAGATATACAGCATGATCCCAGTGCTTCAGGGCCCAGAAGCTGCCAGGAACCCTCCAGACAAGGGGATGCTTTTCTGGAGAAGGGTGTTAAAGTAGACTCAGACAAGTAGAAACAGAGAGGGTAAAACAGAAGCTAGAAGACAGACATGTGGGGAACTTCCAGCACTTTACATGGATGGGGTGGGAGCCATGGAAGTTGGTAGCTGGGGTAGGAGTGTCCTTAGAGGTGGGGACATGGCCTGGCTCAGATGTTTCGGGGCAATGTCCTTAGCGCCACGTGGTGCAGGGCCCTGAGCATCCCTTCCTTCTCCGCAGCTGTGAGCAGCTCCAAAGGCGCTGTCCTCTACGAGCCGTGCGTGGTCAGCACACCCGCGTACTGTCCAGGGGGCACCAGTTTCCTCGACAGTAGTGGGGGCTGCAGCATCGTGGGCGCCGGTGAACTCTACGCACCCTGCGCGCCCCTGGGCTGTGGGGGCGGGCGGGGCTCTAGCCTGAAGCTAGCAGCTGGGGGCGGCTCCTCCTGCCACAAATGTTAGTGCAGCTCCAGAGGCTGGAAGCCCAAGGGGCAGGGCACCAGCCCCCAGCCTGGATGTTGCCCCCACCCACCAGAGTTGAAGACAGGGCTATTTCAAAATCCCACCTTCCTATACTAACCAAAGTTTTCCCTTGAGTTTACACTGGGAGCTGCCCCATAGGTATCCTCAAGCGTCATCTTTCACTGAGGTGTGTGCAGACCCTGAACTAGACCCTGGGGTGCGGGTGGGATGCAAAGAAAAAGAACGCATCCCCGTATCCGTGGACGGCTGGCAATCAGGCCCCAGTGTGGCCAAGAGAATGGCCGCAGCCCCCAAATACTTCTCTTCCCCATGAGAAGGCCAAATGGGCACATCACAGTTCTGCTTTGTGGATTATCCCATGGAAATTTCCCCACCAAGCCAGACTCCCCTACCCCTGGTGGTTCCCCACCTGTCTTACCTCTGGCTCTCATGCGCCTAAGAAAAGTAAAGTTCTTTTAACATCCACCTCATACATGCACATTTGCAAATATCCAAAAAGAGACAACCCAGAATCCCATTCTGAATTCCAAAGCCAAGGGCCAGGATTTCAGGATCACTTAGGATCTGTCAGTGGTCATCAGCTAGCATACAGAATCAAGAGTTGGTCTTTGGGCATAGGTTTATTGGCTCAGGTGTGTTGAACTTGCACTATAGAAATCCATCTTTTCCCTGAGCTCACATTGGCAGCCAATGGCTGAGAAATGCCTATCACAAAGGCCAGGAGACATGGAATATTTCTCAACGAAGGGAGACTGACTTTATCTGTTCAAAGGGAATCAACCTAACCCCTGCCCGTGTACATAGCCACCCCTGTCCTGCTCCCTCTCGAGTTCTGCTTGCTTTGGTCTAATACGAACATGATTTCCTGGCTACAGTGATGAGGGACTGCCTCAGCGGACTTGGAGGCTCTGGTTCAGGGGCTGTGAGGAAGGAGGAGGTGCTCACCTGCCCTCCATCTCCCCGTAGTGCAGCATCTGCAGAAGCCCCACCCACCCAGGGATCCACCGTTCAGCCATGAGCCTCTGGGCACTTCTGCCCCCAATAAACTGACTGTTCACAGGCTACAGGAATCAAGATTATTCACCCTCTTCTGTGGAGGGCATTGACGTGGAAGGAGAACTATGAGCCGCTTTTGGGGGCCGGGGGCCAGGGGAGGGGAAATGGAAGGTATTATACAAATGCAAAAACTACATATGAATGACTGGCAAGTAAATGGAATAAATGTGGATCTAGATTCTAATGAAAATCTGCCCATCCCACCCCAATAGTTGGTGAGTCACTTGCCATGTTAGAAGCCATGGGCCTCGTACCCATAAGACTCCTCACCACATGGTCCCCTGCATATGTCCTAGGGAAAGGCCATGGGGCCCCTATCATGTCTGTACTTAGCGGCCTCCAAGCCTGGGCTTTGCTTCCCCATCCTGGACTATGTGTCCCAGGTGCTCGGGGCAGGGCCGCTGCAGGCCTGGGGAAAGCAGGGAAGATGGGTGGCTGCTTGGCCAAGGAAGAGCACCCCCATCCTCCTCTCCCTCTCAGGAGCCCCAAGACCTGGAGATGAGACTCAGTGGCAGCAGTGCCACCCTCTTGTTGCCCCACTGATTCCCCAGGACCATCCCCCCACCACAAACTCCCCCACGGGACTCCCCTCTCCTGAGCATTGGGATGCAGCTCCCCTTCTCGCACAGCCTCGCACAGGGCATCTCTTCTGTGCCAAGCCCTGCATTAGAAGCTGGCGATGCCACGGTGACTATGACACCTTCTGAACCCCGGAGGGGCTCTCTGCCTCTCAGGGGAGTCACACGTAATGAGAAGCAGAGAGGACAGGAGTGACAAGGGAAAGCATCTCCCGATTAGGTCCGGCAAGGGAATCAGAGACAGGTTCACAGAGGAGATTGCAAGCACAGAGTCTGAACGAACAGGGGTTTCAGATTGGCGGGCAGCATAGTCAAAAGAACCCACCCACTCACTTTTTCATTCACTCAATATATTTATCAAGTACCTGCCATGGGTCAGCTCCGCCCAGGGGCTGGCTACACAGTAGTGAATAAGGCAGACCCAGTCAGGGCCCGCCTACCAGTGGGGACAGTAGACACAGTATCCAGAGGCCATGGTAGGGACTGTAAACTGGTGTGGCCACTTTGGAAAACAGTGTGGCAGTTCCTCAAATGTTGAACATGGAGTTACCGTATGACCCAGCAATTCCACTCCTGACTTTATACCCAAGAGAAATGAAAACACATCCACACAAAAACTCATATGCGCATGTTCAGAGCAGCACTATTCACAAAAGCCAAATGGTGGAAATAACCCAAGTGTTCATCACGGAGGAACGGATAATCAAAATTTGATCTATCTATACAATGAAATAACTTATGGCCATAAAAAGGAATGAAATATTGATACATGCTACAATATGGATGAACCTTGAAAACACATGGTAGATAAAAGAAATCAGACATAGGGACCATGTATCTATGATTCCATTCATGTGAAAGCTCAGAATAGGGAAATCTGTAGAGATGGAAAGCAGATAAGTGATTGCCTAGGGCTGGAGGAAGGAGAAGATGGGGTGGGGGGGAGAGTTAAAGGTTTCTTGTTGAGGTGATGAGAATATTCTAAAAGGGACTGTGGTGACGGCTGCACGTATCTGGGAATATATTAAAACCACTGAACTGCACATTTTAAAGGAGTGAATAATATGATACGTGAATTATACCTTAATATAACTGTTTTTTAAAAATGGGGCCCTGGCCTGAATCCATGCTTCTGGGGCTTACAGCCTAACCAGGAGAACAGACCTAAAATAGGAAATTACAGGTGCAAGGCTTTTTGTAAAGGACAACATAACTGAGGAGCCCACCCTGATCCCTGGGCCTCAGGAAGCTTCCTAGGAGGAGGGATAGGCAAGCTGGATCCCAAAGGCCAGCAGGACAGAGGGGACAGAAGGAAGCAGGGCGGAGGCTCCAGGCTGAGGGCTGAGCAGCCACCATGAGCCAGAACGCACGGCATCTGACCGGTGAGGGTTGGTGATTCCTGGGACGTACATCCACACCCGGGGAAGGAGAGGGCGGAACGAGGCCTCATGACCTCCTTCCCACTAGCCCTGTGACTCTGGACCGGGCCCTAGAGCCAGCTAAGCTCCTTGCTGATTAATAACTCAGAGATCTGAACAGTACAGGGATGCTCTGGAGTCAGCAAAAACAGAGATTCCAGCAGACCTCCCAACTCTATCGCAAAGATGACTACCCAGAGCCCAGGAGACATCCCAGTGGAGGAAAGGAGGAGAGGGAGGGAAGATTCCCCAACTCTCGCTGCGAGGTTGGCTCGGGCCTGGCGACCATCCCTTTGGGGATTCCCATTCCAGAGTGGCCTAGGCCCCGGGGGAAGGAAGGCTTGTCTGGAACAGTCCACCAGGCAGACTCATCCCAATTGGGAGGGCGCCCAGCTCAGTCCTGGACGTGAGCTTGAGGCCGGAGCACGTCCCTCTGGAGCTTTCACCAGGGGACCCCCTCAGTGCTGTGCTGGGCACCCCCATTCTCCCTTGAGACCCAGGGAGGAGGAGGCAACTCTAGGCAGGCGGGACAAAAGTGCCTCCTGGTGGTGGCCCAGCAGCTCACCTCCATTCACCAGGGCAAACATCTGCGCTTCTCCCAGGACCCGCCCCGCACCAGGTGCTGGGATGCTGGGAGCATCAGGCCCTGGCCCTGCCCTTGGGAGGCCAGGAGAACAGTCTGTGTGAAACCAGGGCCTCACTGCAGTCCGTTCCGCCTGGAGAATCCAAATTCCAGCCACTTCCAGAGCGCCCCCTAGAGGACAGGTGGTGAATGACCCCAGGAGGCCTGGGGAGGGTGAGGACCAGGAATGGAGTCCCTTGTTTCTGGGTCTGTCTCCCCAGAATGGCTCCCATTCCCTTGTCCCTCTTCTCCCCAGGAGGCCCTTCCTTGCCGCACCACACCCTCCCTCAGGAGCTGCTGCCTCTCCCTCAAAGGCCCTCGTCTCACCCAGATCCCTCCCTCATCCCAGTCCCATCCGTGGCCCCAGGTGGACCCTCTCCTGCCACTCTCCACTTGGTGCTCGGATTGGGGGAAATGGGGGCAGAAACGGAACTGTGAGCAGAGGAGGGGAACTCAGGATCACTGAGTCTGACAGAAGGAAGCGGGCAGCGCCCAGCAGGCAGCCCAGCACCAAAACGCGATGTCGGGCACACATCATCTCCCAGTGAAGGTGCAGTTTTTCAAAGCAGACTGACCTGCACACCCATAAGGAGCATCACTTCAGCCCAGCAGGTGATAACTGTGTGGGCAGGTGAGGAATTTGGGTCAAACCTGGAAAAATCATCCTGCCTGAAAGTGTGGGGATGGGCCCAAGCAAGAGGGGTGTTTTAACCTGGAAAAATCATCCTGCCTGAAAGTGTGGGGATGGGGCCAAGCAAGAGGGGGGTCTTATCTCTCCTGAGAGGTGTTTTGATTTCCTCCACTCATCATTAGTCTGACAGGGCGGAGGGGTGGAGGGCCTCAGCCTCTCCCATTGTCCCCCTCCTTCTGCCAGGGGACTCCTGAGCTTCTCTTCCCACCAGGGCAGGTCCCAGCATGAACACCTCCCAGTGAGTACCTCTCCTCAGCACAAACTTGTCCCCAGGCAAAACGGAAGCATTCTGAAGAAGGCGGCTTTTAGCAAAGGCCTTTCATCATCTGGGATTTCCCTGTCACCCTCCTTCCCTCCCACTCACTCGCACGCTGACAGCCACACACACACAGCCACAATGTGCCCAGGGTTCCCAGGCTCTGCTCAGCCAACCGAGGCGGCACCCTCCCCTCCCACCCGCTCCTCCCCACGCAGATAGCAATGAGCCAGCAATGGTCCTACAGTAGCGCAGTGAGGAGCTGGGGCTGGGCTCAGTCAGCAGATCTATCTCAGGATGACGACCAGACTGACTCCTAAAAGGAAAAAGAAACTGTCAGAGCAGCAAAAACCCCAGCCCAGAGTTTCCAGAACAACTCCTCCCCTCTCCCCTGCCCCACCTGCCACCCCCCCACCAAAAATGGCTGAGGGTTGTGTTATGCACCGACTGGCAAAATAATGCCTCAGAAGTATAAATTGCTAATGGTGACAGCTCATCCCAGAATGGGGGCTATGCTTGACTGGTCTCAATTACCCCCACCCCGCCCGGCCGGTTAGGGTTGAAGAAAGCTGAGACGCAGGGTGGCCCCAGGAATGGCTGGTGAGGCAATGATGCCACAGGCACTAGAGCGGGAAGGAGGTGGGGTGCTAGGCGGGAACAGGGATGACTGCTTGCAAGTGAAAGGAGGACTATGCAAAAGAGAGGAGAAGGGGCAGAGAGAGAAAAAGAGGGAGGGAAGGAGAGAGGGAGGACAGCAGGGGAAAGAATGGCTGACAATAACCACACGAGGCTCCCCACACCATACACCCCAAACATTTGCATATGTAGCCCTCACAATACTGTGCAGTAGGTATAATTCCATTTTACAGATGAGGACACTGAGGCTTAGAGAGGCTAAACAGTTTCCCCAGGTCATTGGTCTCACGTGGAGGGTGAGTGTTTGCACAGTGATAATAAAAAGCAGACTTTTACTTGGGTGTATCATTGTTTATAAGTTCTTTACAGATAAGCACCCTTTCTGTCTGTACCTGGAGAGTGCCACGACCGTGCCCTGGGTGCACCACCGTCCAAGGTCACACTTGGCAGGTGGCAAAACTGGGATTGCCCCCATTTGATTCCAAGGCTGGGTCAAGCCTTCTGTCCCCAGCCTGGCACACTCACCGGTGTTCTCCATGCCATCCCTTCTGCCCTCCTCCCCACTTTCTCCTTCCCAGTCTCCTGGATCCCCTTGCCTGCCCTCAGAAGAGGAGGATGCCCTTTCCTGCAAGAGGCCAGATTCACGCCCCAGGAGCTTGGAGCTGGAGGGCAAACTGAGCTGGTCCCCTCTGAGCGCTTGGATTTCTATACCCCACCATCCTCAGAGCCAGAGTCTCCTCTTCCTGAAATACCTGCAAAACCAAATTCCTCTTTTTTCTTTTCCCACTCCTTGCTCCTTTCCCCA